GGCTACTCACACCTACTAGACACCTCTCCATTGCCTCCTGGGTGAAATTCATCTTGAGTTCTTCAGAAGAAGTTGTGAAGGTATAGTTTTCAAATGAGCATAAAACCAAGAGCATGAAATTTATTCACATTTTCTTGGCATACTGATTCATCAGTCCAACACTTCTCAACACTACTATGAGATCATTTGAGATCTTTGTTTCATGGCTCAACATGTACTGATTGATTTGTATTCTGGGGGGGGTACATTATAGATTTAAATAAAGTGATTCCTAAGTATGTATACTTGTTGTTCAGTTGTTTTTCAGTTGTGTCCAGCTCTTTGTGACCCTATTTGGGGTTTTCTTGATAGAGATCCTGGAGGGGTTTACCATTTGCTTCTGAAGCTCATTTTACAGATGAGGGAAAATGAGGCAAAGGGGATTAGGTGACTTGTATAGGATCACACAGCTAGTAGGTGTTTGGGGCCAGATTTGAACCAGGAAGAGGAGTCTTCCTAACTTCCTATCTACTGTGCCACCTAGCTACCCAAGTATGTATTATGTTGATTTAAAGAAAAAAAAATTCTTAAAATACAAATGAAGTCAGTAAAGGGGAGATGATTTGGAAGGGAAGAAGAAGAAAACCAGAAGGGAAGACTACCCACATCTCACTTTAAAGAAAATAACTTTTACACATTTGGGCACATTTATTTTCCTTTCTTCCATCAAACTTGTCCCTAACATTTCCTTTTCTGGTGTTTTTCTTCTCATCTTCAGGGGTTTACTCAAATAACATTCTAGTCATCAACGTGCCCTATGTACAAAATTCTCTTATCCAAGTAAGGCCCTTTTGTGATTGAAAAAAAAAAAGCTATTGCGAGATATAAGTTGTTTACACTGTTGGGAGGTTGATGGAGGTCAACTGCCTAAGGTTACTCTTAGCTCAACTTCTGTGTAAACTATTGATGTCATTGTGGGGAGCCTACCCTATAGGATACAATATATTTGATAAACATATTATACAAAATACAGTACATAGTAATATTTGACCTTGTACAAGGATAATTTTTTCCAACAAATAACAGATTTAGCATGCATAAATATGAGAGCCCCAACTAAGCAATAGAAAGGAAATCTCTTCATATGACAATGTCACTAACTGAGTTCATGTGTACTCTGAGCTTCAAAGCTAAGTTATTCTCAAAGAACATTCTTGAGCTATAACAACTATTGAACTTCTGCTGAGTTTCTAAGAAAACATCTCAAAATGATCTTGCAGCTGTTATATGTTGCTATCTCTACTGACACTTCCCATATCAAGGCAATTATTGCCTCTGTATATTGGTAGGCTTTGTCAGTGCCAAAGAATGAATGAATCATACACAGGATTTAGGGAAAGGAAGTTGAGCTTATGCCCATACAACACTAAATACTGAAAAAACAAAACAACATTAATTCTTCATTTGGGTAGAAAATGTTCCTTGGCATTCTACCAAGACTATGATGCTGTCAAAAGGATATCTTAACCTGTTTATCCCTTCCAAAATATTAGATTTGGATTTAAAAGTAAATCAAATGATTACAATTCATGTGAACTATCATATTCATGTGAACTACATATCAGAACTATCATATGAATAAGAGGAAAAATCAAGTTAGAGTGATGACAGTTCTTAGCTTATCTTTAGGAATGGAAAATGCAACAGCCTTCCATGCTACCACCCCACCTTCAGGTTAATTTCTACTCCAGCACTTAGCGCTGTGTTTACCATATTCTAGATGCTTACTATAGGCTAGATGGCTGGTTTACCAAAAGAATCTAGCTGAGAAATAAAGAGCCTAGAAAATGTGTTGTGTCAAAATTCTGGTGCCTTCATTTCTTGAGTGCCAAATGACAAGGTGATATTGAACCTTGCCAGTGCTCATTCTATCATCCCACACTGTCTCTTGATTTGTGGCTTGGAAGGACTGAGTGACTTAAGTGACTGGCCCACAATCCTACCATCATACTGTTACAAAGAGATAGAGCTGGGATTAGAACTCAACTAATCTGACCTTCAGTCCAATATTTTCTCCCACACCAAGTCATTATAAATCTTTTCACACATGCTCACTGCTCTCGGTCACTCTCCAAACTCTGGGTCTGTTTGTACCCTCACTTGTATCCTTTTGGCACTCCAAATGCATTGTCCCATAAGTCTATGGTGGGAAAACACTGAGCCTCCAGAGCATACCAAGAACCAGGGGCTTAAAGTATCAGCAGAGTTTGCTATTCTCAGCTTAACCCCAGTACCCACGATCTCACTGATCCCACACATCAAGCCTCACCCTAGGGACAAACCCAACCCTCCAGGGCACATCCAGAAATAGCCACAAATCCTCATGTGGACTCACAGTTTTTCTATCTTCACTTTGACCCTCTTTATAACACCAGCACTCTCCATCAATTCAATCCATTTGGTCACAATTTTTACTTCTTATTTACAATCCATTCCTTGTCTGTAGAGGATCTTTGAGTCACAGATTTAGAGTTGGAAGACACCTTAGTTGCCACTAAGTCTAACAACACCTCATTTTACAGATGAGGAAACAGACACAAAGAGATTAAGTGACTTGCTCAGGGTCACTTAGCTTATAGGTAATCAAGGAAAAGATGTGACCCCAGGTATTCCTGACTCTGAGTCCACTGCTGTATCCAGGCCATTACACATTCTACCTTTAATAACAAATATTCATGAGCTGGATATTACAATATGATGACAAAAAATTATAAGCTTCAAGAGAAGTCATAATACTCTTTTCTAGGATACTGCTTAGGGTAGCTATCTGGCCTTCCATGTACAACTTAGTACTTATTAACTTCCCATATTCTTACAGTATCCCTTTTTTTATTCTTCCTCTTCTCCAAATCAATATCTCCTGTAAAATGCTAACTCTAGAGCTACCAGGGAAGAAATTCTGTCTACCTTCCTTAGTGTAAGTTTTATAATGTTTTTAAAAAGGCACAGCATTTTTGTGTCCTTGGGAGAATTAAATTCTAATTTGGGAATTTAAAAGCATGTCCACTTTCACAGCATTCATATGGTTCAGTAAACTTATTTTCTCAAATCTCATTTTTTTCACCTGAACCTCACTTACCTCCTGCAACTTCTAAGCTGCCTCTTTTTTCCCCTCTTATTCCCTTCTCTGCTGTTCAATCAGAAACTATTTCTCTTCCTTTTGAGTCTAATTATTTCTGTAGTCATTCTTTTTTAGGTCATGCCATGGAAACATTCCAGCATCCCATGCAGATACCTAAACATTTCCCTAAATCCTTTTAAACTGCTGATAGGTCCCTAGCAGTTGCTTTATTCCGTCCCTTAATTCAGTCGCTCTTTAATGTGAAGTCATATATAAATTCCTTTGTCTAACATTTGGTACTCTTTCCAACCTTGTCTCTTCTACCTTTCTAGCTTTCTTACACATTACTTAACATCCCGAAACTCCACAGTCCAGTCATACTGGCTTGCTTGTTGTTCCCAACACACATTCCATCTCAGTCTCCTTGCCTTTGAACTGGTTGTGCCCCATTCCTGGAATGCTCTCTCCTCACCCTCTGCCTCTTGGGATCTCTGTTTTCCTTTAAAACTCAGCCAAAATACTACACTGTGTATGAAGTTTTTTTTTTTTCCTTGACATTCCCGGCCTTTCTCCACTTACTACTGCTTTTCCTCCAAAAACTACTGCTATTCATTTTGTATATAATTACATATGTATCTATTGTCTCCATGTAAAAAGGTAAGCTACCTGAAGTCAGGTACTATTACTTCCTTTTTTCCTTTGTATTTCTAGCACTCAGAATAGTGCCTGGGGTATCAAAGGTATTTTATAACCATGGATTAATTTAACAGTGGATTGATTATAGTTGGAAACAAAATGTCACTGAAAATACCCAAGCACATGAAAATTACCAATATACATGTTACCTGACAAATTTATACCAGAAACATGTACCTGTGTGTTATGGAAGTATGCATGTATGCATGTGTGTGTGTGTGTACACATCCTCAAAAGGTTGGACACATATAATAGCAGCTGGCAAGAGTGTACAACAGCAAGGGAGCAAGAGTGTACAAAGTAGCTAAACATGGCGAGGTAAGGTATACACTACCAAATGAACTCTAACTACTGATTTGTCATTGGGATATCTAAATGTATTTAACCAATTGTATTCCTCAATTTTTTTTTTATTTAGTTTTCAGAGTTTCCAGGTTAGCTTTTTTTTTTAATTTTTTTTTTAGGCAATTGGGGTTAAGTGACTTGCCAAGGGTCACACAGCTAGTAAGTGTCAAGTGTTTAGTCTGAGACTGATTTGAACTCAGGTCCTACTGACTTCAGGGCCACTGCTCTATCCACTGCGCCACCTAGCTACCCCAGGTTAGCTTTTAAAAGGCACACTCTATCCCTATTCTTCTGAACACTATAATGTTGAGATATGCTTATTATTCATTTAAAAAAAATTTCATATTTCTGACTAGGCTAATTGTTAGTAGTTAAGTGGCCAGAAGCTTGAGTGGAATGAATGCTGAATATGGAATCAGAGGTATCAGAGGTGTTGAATTCAAATCCTAACTCTGGACCACATCTTTCACCAGGTGAAATTTTCACTCAGCCTTTTTGGGCCCAAATTCCTCATCTTTAAAATGAAGGGATTTTACTAAGTGACCTATAAAGACCCTTCCAGTTCTGAATCTATGATCCTGTGAATTATTCTACTTTCTGGGATCTTTAAGATATATAAAACTTTGCAGAATATCAGTCTTCCCAGGTTTGTTAATCAGTATGTATGTATGATCAGTACATATAATGGACCACATATCACATACAAAAGCATGATTTCTTTTTCCCCCATAAAAAAGAATTTTTGTATATTTCTTCCATATAGTTTCAAAACTATAAGGTAACATTCAATAGTATGAAAAATTACACCTCTGAAATCATAATACAGTCACATACTAGGAAAAAAAATTTAGAAAATTACCCTTGTATGAGAGTTTGAGTCTTGGAATATTTTGTTTGGACGTTCCAATGACTGGAAGTAACACCACAATCATAGTTAGCATCACAAAGGCATGCAGGGGGTGTAAATCTTGGCTTCCACACTTTTCTCTTTGATCCTTTTTGGCATTCATGGCTAAAAATGTCCCTCCTCTTGGACAATACTAATTTAATCTGAAAAGAAAGAAAAAAATAGAATATTGTTGTTTCATTTGATCTATGCACAGAAATGAGTTTAATATAACTATTTTCAAAGAAAATAAGGTGAATATATTATGATTGGTCCCCAGATTAAAATATATGGAATTTTTCCAGATTTCAATAAGTGGTTAAAATATATTTATGTAAGCATATTGTTCTAAGTTATTTACTCATATACTGCCTCATTTCATCTGTATGAGATCTTTGAAAGACAAAATGAAGCAAAGCCTTCATTATGACACTCAGAGTTGACTTTGCACATGGATGAAATAGGTGATTTAATTTGAAATTGATTCCTTTGGGTTAAAGTAGCAATATTCTATTCATACTCTTCTAAAACACATATAAGAGGCACCTAGTTGGCACAGTGGACAGAGCAATGAACTTGGAGTCAGAATGACTCCTGTTCCCGAGTTCAAACTGGGCCTCATATGCATACTAGGTGTGTGACCCTAGGCAAGTCAATTAACTTGGTTTTCCTTAGCTTCCTCATCTGTAAAATAAGCTAGAGAAGGAAATGCAAACCACTCCAGTATTTTTGCCAAGAAAACCCCAAATGGGGCCACAAAGAGTCAGACATGACTGAAAATGACTGAACAAAAAAAAATGGTTATAACCCTGGGAGTATAATATCTGAAGTTACTCATGGGCTTTACTGTGAATCATTTTAGGCAAATACAATGCTAGCTAGTAAGCATTTATATAGTACATTAAGATTTGTAATGAACTTTGCAATTATTATCTCAGCTGATTTTTGCAACAACTTTGGAAGGTAAAGTACTATTACTATCCCTATTTTATGCAGATTGGAAAGACTGAGGCAGATTGGGGTTCAGTCCTTGGTCACACAGCTAGTAAAAACAACTGGTGTTCTAAAAAAAAAATAGATGGTATGGTGGATAGAACACTGGGAATACAATAAGGAAGACCTGAGTTCAAATTTAGCAAAAGGCACTAACCAGTTGTGGGACCCTGGCCTAGTCTGTCTCAGTTTCCTCAATGGTAAAATGGGGGAAATAATAGCACCTACTTCACAGGGTTGTTGGAGAATCAGATGGGAAAAAATGTTATAAAGTACTTAGCACATAGTAAGTGCTATATAAATGTCAGTTATTAGTAATAGTAATGGTGGGTGAGGCTGGAATTGAATTCAGGTCTTCTTGTTTGCAGGCCTAGAGTTCTTTTCATTTCACTACCTAGATGCCTAAAGAGTTAGCATTATTGCCATAGAAGGGTGTTTAGAGTAAGAGGAAAAATTAAAAGTGGAAAAAGCAAGTAGAGAAGATAAGTTTTGTCTAATTTACATTTCTGGAGGAGGGTAATAGTAGTCATTTGTAGAATAGAATTCAGTGGCAGATCTATTTTGTAATTAATACAAAAGAGTTTAGTTGGTCCTCAACACTCATCTTAGGATATTTGGTGCAATGAAAAGAGCACTAGATTGGGTAGTCAAAGGATAGCTAGGTTCAGATCCCTACTTGGGCATTACTCTCTATGTGATCTTAGTCAAATCACTTCAACTTTTTAGGACTAAGTTTCCTTACCTACAAAAATTTATAAAATCAAAGGTTTGAACCAGATAGCCCTTAAGTTCCCTTACTGCTCCAAATTCAGAATCTTATTTTCTACTGGTTTAAACTTCAGAAAAACACAATGGGGTGAGACTTTTTTTGGCATCCTCACACAAATGGGAAAAGTAACAAGGTGTCCCATGTAACATAAATTACTGATGATGTCGGGGAAAGAAAGCAGTTGTGCCCTCTCATCCCGGTACTCCTTACAACAGATTCTGGAGTCAGAAGACTGAGATGCCAATCCTTCCTTTCATATTTACTATATGGGTGACCCTGGGAAAGTTACTTACTCTCAGTTTCCTGATTTGTAAAATGAGGGGGTTGTATCAGATGGCTTCTGAAGTCCTTCCATTTCCACACCTAGGTAAATGTTATTGCATAAACTAATTCACAGTACAATCCTCTGATTATGTTGACAATTCAGATGACTTTCTTTGCACTGATTGCACAAATTCATCTCCCTGGATGGGAGAGGGACAGGAGGGAAGGACAGGGCAAACCACACAGTGTGCCCTCTGTAAAATTTTTTATAAAGGTGAAATTAAATGAACACAAAGGTTATTATGGGAATAGAGATAACCAGGGCTCATCTTCAGAGGAAGATACTGAAGCAAAAAAAAAAGCCTCTCCTACCCCAAAGAGTAACATCAAATGGTCACCTGCCCAAAAAGAATTCTTAGAAGAACTAAAAAATGACTTAAAAATCAAATAAGAGAGATTGAGGAAAATTTTTAAAAAAAGAACAATCCAAGAAAACCAAGAAGATTATGAAAAGAAAGTCAACCAACTGGAAAAAGAGATCCAGAATCTTAAGAAAGACAACAATTCCCTGAAAACTAGAATTGGGCAAAAGGAAACCTATGATGTTATAAGAGAAAAGAAATAATAAAACAAAATTAAAAGAATGAAAAAATAGAAGAGATTGTAAAACTTCTCATAAGAAAAACTGATCTGGAGAACAGATCAAGAAGAGAAAACATTAGAATAAATGGACTACCTGAAAGTTATGATCAAAAAAAGAATCTTGATACAATAATATAAGAAATAGAGAAAATTGCCTTGAAGTTTTGGAACAAGAGGGGAAAGTAGGAATAGAAAAAAATCCACCAATCACCACCTGAGAGAGATCCTAGGATGAAAACCTACAGGAATATCATAGCCAAATTCTGAAACCCCCAGGTTAAGAAGAAAACATTATGGGCAGCAACACCACCAAAAATAACAACACAAAAATTAAAATACCATGGAGTCACAATTAGAATTATACAAGATCTAGCAGTGCAACACTAAAAGACTGCAGGTCTTGGAAAACTACATATCAAAATCAGAAGAACTGAGGTTGCAGCCAAAAATATTATACCCAGCAAAGTTAAGTATAATCCTGAACAAAAAAAAATGGTCATTCAATGAATTTACAGACTTTCAGGATTTTGTCACAAAAAGACCAGAACTCAATAGAAAATTTGACATATAAGATCCAGGAGAAATATAAAGTAAATATCACAGACCACTTACAAGGGATTCAATAAGGACAAATTGTTTACTTTTTATTTGTGGCAATGTAAACTGTGTGTCTAAGATTGTCCTTAGTAATTGTGTAATTTGAAAGAAAGATTGGGGTATGGAAAGTGGAATATGATGTGATCCTAGAAAGCAAAATTGTGTAGGAAAAGGTAAAAAGAGTAATTACCTCATACAAATGAGACAAGAGAGGAAGAACTGATACAGAAGAATCAGATGGAGGAAGGCTGTTAGTACTGGAACCCTACTCACATTAGATCTGGGTTAGAGAACAACATATACATTTAGAAGGGTATAAAAGTCTTCTAAATTTATAAAGAAATAAGAGAATGAGGGAATAGGGTGGGAGGACATAAAAGGGTGTGTAGATTAAGATAAAGGAGGAGGTGAAGGGAGAGTATAAGGGAAGGACTCTTAGAGGGGTGGGTAGGTTAAAGAATAGAAGGGCAAGGTAGGGGGTAGAAATAAAGCAGAGTAGTGAGGAGAGATAGTGAGTGAGAAGGATAGTGAGGAAAAATAGGAAGGAGAAAAATACACAAGTAATGGTAGCTTAGAATGTGAATGGGACAAATTTATCTATAATATGAGAACAGATAGCAGATTATAATTTTGAATTCAACAATATGTTGTTTTCAGGAAACATGAAAATAAGATACACACAAAGATAAAATAAAAGGCAGGAGTAGAATTTAGTTTGTTGTTTTTTTTTTTTTTAAAGCAGGGAGAGTAATCATGATCTTAGACAAAGTTAAAGTTGAAATAGATTTAATCAAAAGTGAAAAATAGAGAAACCACACTATGTTTCATCAGTATTATTCAGTATTGTCTTAGACCATTTAAAATACCTAAACAGCATAAAATATCTGAACATATACCTGCCAAAACAGACACAGGAACTATACGGATATAAACATAAAATACTTTTTTATAGAAATAAACTCAGATCTTAATAACTGAAATAATATTTATTGCTTATGGGTAGGCAAAACCAATATAATTTTTAAAATGATATTTGACATAACTAATCTATTTATTCCATGTCATCCCAAATAAATTACTAAAATAAGAATTTACTGACCAAGGAAAAATTAATAAAGTTCATTTTGAAGAGTGAAAGGTCAGGAACTTCAAAGAAACCAGGGACAAAAGATACAAAGGAAGTAGATTCTGCATTATCAGACCTTAAACTATATTGAAAGGTGAGAGTATTGTTGAAACATAAAAAAAGAACAATTTCAATTACTTTAAATTAAAATTTTGTTGTGTAAATAAAACCCATGCAGCCAAAACAGAAGGAATGCAGAAAATTGAGGGAAAAAAATTCTCATAGACAATCTCTCAGATTGGGTTGCAATATAGCTGTGGTGTACAAAATGATGATCTGGTTGATTTAGACAGACATTGAAAGACTTGGACTTATGAAGGAAGCTTCTATCCATCTTTAGAGAAACAGATGATAGGAGGAAATAAGCATATTGCAGTCTTAACATGTATATATTTTTATGATTATAGATATCTATCTGTGAGTGTATTCACATTTAATTGTAGCCTTCTTTGAGTGGTGGGGGAGGAAGGGGAAAAATAAAGTAAGAAGTGCACAGCAGAGAACAAAGAAAACCAACAAAGAGGCAAAGAAAAGCTGGGCAGCTTTGAAAACAATGTGTAGTATTTATTAAATAGATTTTCTTGAAATGTAAATTTATTGTTTTATACTGAATCCTCTCTTATGGTCTGCTGTATACATGGTGATTTTTTCCCTCATTTTGCATTTAAGTTTAAAATAAAAACAAATTTACAAAAAATGAATATAAAGGATAGACTTGAATTGGAAAAGTAACAGCTTAATGGAAGATGTGTATGTGGATGGGAGGAAGGGGA